AATAAATAATATATAATATAAATATAATTTATTACAAAAATATCCCATATTTTTAACTAGTCAGATACTGATTTTCATGAACTTTTAAGTAGGCCTACACCTGCTTCATTTTCACACGAACATCAATCAGAGAGAGCTTGTAGTTCAGTTCAGTAAGTCAGATGTAGCCGAAGCGCTTTGACTGATTCAGTGAGTTTATTCAGTGAAACATTCGTCGGTGTGATTCAAATCGGTATGGATTTCCGAAGGACGGGCTGGAGAACGGAGTGAGCAAACGCTGAAGCATTATGAGTGAAGCATCACATCAGTCTTTTTGAACGATTCATAAAAGAAACCGGATGATAAGAGTAATTTGTCAATTTTAGGCGAGAAATTCTCATATGGATTACTGTTTTGTCGCCATTCTGAAGTAGGCATCACGTTATTATTCGACGTTAGGGAAGAGTAGTCGTCATATTCGAAAGCGACACGTTTGGCGTCGTATAGATGGATCAAAAATTATATTACATTCATGATTTTGAATTGCATAGCCTACATATGCATGAAAACGGTCAAGAAGCAAGTTATTCATCAAATGCAGTACATATTTTGACAGTACGGCATTTCGAAAGCTGCAAGTGCTGTTTTTATGTAATGTGTTCCAGAGGATCAGTGTTTAACAAGGTAACATGAATCAAGATCTTATCTATGCTTGCAGGTGATTTGCATTCGTGTTTAATTTTCTGGTAAAGTTACCAACCAACTTGACATATATTTAAGATACAATTACAATGCAATTCTTACCATAATAAAACATGTGACTTACATACAACATGCACTGTTCTATGTATATGTATTTTTTAAATTAAAATTCATTATTTAATTTTTTTAAATGTAAAATTAAATTAAATTTGACTACCAGGAATGCAGTTTTAGTTATGAAGTCTCAACTCACAATGTTACTTTGTTCCCTGCTTTAGTAATAACTTTCCTCTTCCTCTATATCACCTTTCATTTATCTTCCAGCTTCCCTTTTTATCACAGACTGAAAGACACTGAACAAAAACACTGATATATATATATATATATATATATATGCAGATATGTTCAATATTATTGGATTTCAGCCAGTTTAATTTCCAAGCCCAAGAAGTTACTCTACTATAAGTTTATAATAAGACTTTGTATGTAAACAACATAAAGCAAAAATAATAAAAGGACAAATCTGCTTACCTGTGACAAATGTATTTAGTAGCCATTCTGGTGAGTTTGCCAATTACCTTAATGCTTCACGTATTCCCTCCTGAAATGCCTGTCTCATTCCTAGTAACTGGTTAAGTAGGGGTGGAGCTGAGAAGCAAACTGTTTTTGCACCTATAATGTACAGGTGAACAAATCCACAACTGAAACTTGTCTTTCTTCTAGATTACTCATTTTGTATGTATCATAGAGAGATGACAGCTTAAAGCTACACGCATCACAAACTTGTGGGAACATCGTCTCTAAGGTATTGTCCTCATTATGTGGGGGTTGGTTTGTTGCAGTGAGTAACATAATAGCTACACACACTTGACAACTCTCAGAAGATTTTAGCATTTGTTAATGTTAATGTACATTTGTTAATGTATTTGGTCTTGGTGGAATAGATCTGCTACGCTGCTGCTGCTATTGGTTATTTCAGGTTTTTTAGATTATTGCTGCTGCTGCAAAGCAAGTACAGGAAATTGCTATTGCCAATACATATTCAAGAATTGCATATAAAATAACCCGTAGCAGATCTATACAGGTGGAGCTGGGGAAGCTGAAGGGTTTCAGAGGAACTCTGAAAGCGTGCTGCAAAATGCTCTAGTGAATGCTAACCAGCCATTTAAATGTAAAGCAGCAAGCTCATCAGAACAATCAGCTTGTGCCAAGTAGTGTAACGCTAACTGGGTAATAAATATGTACTAACCCTGAAGCTACACCCTAAACCTAACCTCATCCCATATAGTTACCTTTTACTACCAGTACTTCCTTGGGTAAGTACACCTGCTGTAATAAACAACCCAAAATGTGCTTAAATGATGCTGGCACATCTCCAGGGAACCTGGTGTATTTGGTTTGTTTATAGTGGTTTGTTTATTCTGATGTCTGGTGCTTTGTTCATCGCCAGTTTCACTCTGTGCTGTAGCTTTTGTTCATGTAGGCTTTACTGTCTTTTCACATGGGGATGTGCACAAGTAGAAACAACGTTGTCAAACTTGTATTTCTGGTTGTTTTTTAGGCCACTGCCTGAGGCAGTACTCCAAACAGATGATTACTTGAATGTATGTTCCCAATACACAGTTTAAAAAAAAATTTTTTATTGTTGTTATTGTAGCAGTGCACATACTGTAGTATTTTTCCCATAAGAGCGGACACAGCCATTTGTGAATTTAATGTGTATGGCTTCTGGTCTCATCCACTTCCAGCCATTTTTACAGTAGCTGTACAAAACAGCTTATTTTGCTGCTTGATATTGCAGACTGATGTTTCTTACCATATTATTTTAATGTATTGTCTTAATTTTATAAACACACTGATTTGTAGCGCAAACTGTTTTAACGTTTACTGCAGTGCGCTTTGTTATTCTTCTTGTTATTTCCCTACAGCGGCTATGAAGCAGAAGTCTGGCACACTCACAGAAAACAGCTTACTTCCACGTTGAAAAATAAAGTGGATAGTTTAAACACATACTTTGGAATCTTGGGTTATACCGTTAGTTTTGATTATATGATTTAGAAGGAACAGAGGTGCATATAAATGTTATACATGTAAACATGCACAAGCGAGCAATGGTGGCAACCACAGTTATGCTGCAAAATTATTATTATTTTTTTGTTTTGTTTTTTTCTTACCAAAATTGATTAGCATGTTTGCAAAATGATCATCGAGCCACGTGGTCTCTTTCGCCAGCACTCTTTGATGTTATATTAAGAATTCACTTGAACCATTGTATTTCCATTCTATAATTCCATTGTTTTGGATTCACGCAACCTCATATTCATCTAGACAAATTATTTTGTGTTCCATAGAAGAAAGAAAGTCATACAGGTTGGAAACAACATGGGTGAGTAAATGATAACAGAACTTACATTTTTGGGTGAACTAATGCTTTAAAACATGATTAATATATTATATTCATAATAATCATAATAAACTGGGGGTGGGAAGTGGTTTAGGTATCAGTGTTTTGTTACTAACTCTAATTTGCTACCATACTGCAGCAGATATTGCTAATGTTAAAAAACCAGAGCAACAGCCCTGATAGCTTCTAGTCACATTATTGTACTGAATAAACTGACAGCTAAAAAATTATTATAGATGATTTCCTTATAACAAAGCGATATGAAATGCAAGCAAGATAAAATGAACAGGAATAACCAGATGGGACTGTTTAATATATGTTAATATCTAAACAAATATACGCATTTACACGGTTTTATGTATGCACAAATGGTCCACACATTAATGATGCATGAAGAATGAGTTTTATTTGTGCACTACCAAACATGGGGCTTGAGGCCTGCTTTGTTTTTACATTTACAAAAAAGGGAATGATTTCATCTTTCAGTGTTAGAGGAATGAACCACAATTTCAAACTGTTCTTGATTATGTATAATTATTCATTATTAATTATGTCCAGTTTAGTTTCTTTGTAGTCCTGTGTTCTGTGTTTTTGTCTATGGAGCACCTGGAATGACAATAAAGCTACTCCAACTCTGACTCTGTTCCTATAACGTGTAGTGCAGGGGTGTCAAACTCAGTTCCTGGAGGGCCGCAGCCCTGCAGAGTTTAGTTCCAACCCTGCTCCAACACACATACCAATCCAGTTTTCAAATAAGCCTGAAGGACCTGATTTGCTGGATCAGGTGTGTTTAATTAGGGTTGGAGCTAAACTCTGCAGGGCTGTGGCCCTACAGGAATCGAGTTTGACACCCCTGGAGCCTCATTTATAAAATGTGCGTACGCACAGATTTGATCTTAGAGTGTGCGGACGCTAAAATCCATGGCAACATTCATATTTATAAAAACGGTCTTTTTAATATATTTTAGCAAAAGACAAGAAATAATGAAAATATGAGTGCATGAAGAATATGGTTAGTTGCTTTATTAGCCTATATTTTGATCTAAATTAGAGTGTATAATTTCAAAACCTGAAGCAAAAACAGAATGGTCTGACTTTAGCTTTGTGAAATTAGGCTACACAAAACAAACCAAACAGCAGATGGGCTGAATGAAAATATAAATTCACTCTCTGTCGATTATATTTCGATATATAGTGCACCCCTAATTAAAATAATATTATAATAAAAAAAACTGAACTCATTTGGGCGCCACTAGCATTTCACCTATGCGACGGGCTGGCCCTGGTTATAATGTTTACATAGCTGAGATTAAATCGCTAGCTGCTCTAGCGATGATATAAATCAGGAAATATGTCATGGTGGACCGCCAAGAGAAGCAGACAGGTGGAGAGTCTATCGCTTCTCTCAGATTAAAGCTTGAGATTTACACCGCTAATGATGGCAAGACTGTCGTGGAAGATGAGTTTTTGAACTTTTTAGTCGTCAAAATGAAGTCGATGGCACAGGACGAACTTGTGTTAGTCACAAGCCACTTTTCGTCTGAGCGGATTGCGAGTTCAAGGAAAGCGTTATTTGAACTCTGTCCGGGTTCGTCTCAGCGCTTTGTTCAGCACAGGGGAGAACAAAAAGATATTAATAATGTTAAAAGCTACCTTGCTCTGTTAAATGAGCTTGGGGACAAAATCCCTCGCTTTGTGTCACACTATCTTGACGAGTTGCCGCCTGTGACTTTTAACAGCATTGATATGTCATGTCTACTTGCTAAAATGGAGAGGCTGAGTGCTGACATAGTCGCTATGAAGTAAGGAATGAATGTGCAAGTTAAAGTTTTCCGTGTCAGAGGATTTGAATCGGCGTCTGTACGCGGCTGAACAACATGGCCGCGGTTCTGTGCAGGCCCCAAAGCAAACTGAAATGAAAAGGGACAAGGACGTGGAGAATACGTCTAGCGCACTGGTACGGAGGGAGCCCAACGAGAGCGGATCGACCAGTGATGACCTCCCCGTGGAGAGCATGGTGGATGAGAGTGATATCGTAGCGGCTACAACAACTACTTGGAGTACCGTAGCTAAGAGAGGCAGTCGCCGGTTACAAACAGCAGTTGCATCGCACGAGGGATCCAAGCCTCGGGGGGTCAGATCTACACAGCGAGGCTAGAGAGCTGGAACTTTGCTACAAAGTTTACGCCGGAGCTAGATGTGGATACACTAACAAGCTATTTGCATGGTAAACTTGGCTGGAAGGTCACGTGCATGAAGATAGATACTGTGCAAAGTCGATATAGTTCATTTAAAGTTACGGCGGAGTGTGACGACGTGAGGGAAATGTACCCGGACGTGGCCTGAAGGAGCGGCGTTTGTGCGGCGCTTCTATGAAGTGCGTAAATCAAAGTGTGCTACTGAAGATGTTAAGACGAACGCGCTTGGGGGGGGGGGTACACCACCCAGTAGATTAAAATCGACATATAATGAGAGTCGTGTCATATAATACCCGTGGTTTGCGTTTGGGTCAAACTGCGACGGATAAGGCTCGACGGCTCGTTGTTGACAAACTGTTTGAGAACACAGACATTTTATGTGTACAGGAAACTTTCCTTCCGAAACAGGATCTGGACAAACTTAACTCTGTCAATAGTGTCTTTCACGGGGTGAGAGAGTCCACAACAGACTTTAGTTTGGGGTTTGTGCATGGTAGAATATCTGGTTGAGTGGCCATTATGTGGCATATGAAATATGATCCTGTAATCACAGTGATTAGATTGAATGTTGATTGGTGTATAGGAATAAAAGTAGCCATCGACAATAATGTTTTTATTATTTTAAATGTTTATATGCCCTATGAATGTCCTGGTAATGAGGATGAATTTATTCAAAGGCTTGCTTTTATATGCTCTTTCATTGAAGAGAGTGAATGCACTTGTATTTATGTAATGGGAGATTTTAATGCAGATGTTTCTGATGTGAAATCTTTGTTTGGCCAGTACTTGGTTAGGTTTTGTCAGGATAATACTTGAATTCTGTCAAGTTTGGATCTGTTGCCAACTGACAGCTACACATATGTCAGTGAGGCCTGGAATACAACTTCATGCCTGGATCACTGCATATGCACTGTTGATGCTCATGAAAGTATAGTGAATGTTGAAATCTTGTATGGAGCAGCTGCAACAGATCACGTGCCTATTTCTGTGACGCTAAATATAGAAAAATGACCTGAGATAACCAAAAAGGGTAATGATACCCATAATGGGAGAGTTGAGTGGGCTAAGCTCACAGATTGTGATATGCAGCATTATTATAACTTGACTGATGAGTCTCTGGGGAATATTCAAATTCCATATTATGTATTTTTGTGTGATAATATTAATTGTGACAACTCAAACCATAATGATGATTTGTGTAACATGTATGAGGAAATTTTGATGGTACTAAACAATGCAAGCAAATCATTTTGTAACAAAAGATCTAAACGATATAGTATTAGACCAGGATGGAATGAGCATGTGAGTAAACTCCATCAGCAAGCAAGGGAAGCCTTTAAAAACTGGGTTGCTGCTGGAAAACCAAGGAATGGTCATACTTGTGATGTAAAGAAACAAGCTGTCACACAGTTTAAATATGCTGTTCGCTTCATAAAAAGGAGCGAACATACTCTCAGAGCTAATTCTTTGGCTAAGAAATTATTACAAAATTATATACAAGATTTCTGGAAAGAAGTTAAAGTCATGAATACTAGTAAAATTCCTCTGCCCTCTAGTGTTGAAGGGGTTACTGGATATGAAAACATTGCAGATCTTTGGAGAAAGCATTATAGTGACCTACTCAATTGTGTTAAAAGTGACGATTTCATTATTGGGAATGTGTCTTTTAATAATGAGGTTATCAAGGCTGAGGAAGTAGCTTCTGCTATAGGAAAATTAGTTCTGAATAAATCTTGTGGCCTAGATCAGATCACAGCAGAGCATTTGAAATTTGCTAGTCACAGACTTGTTGTTTTATTGGCCTTGTGTTTTACTGGAATGTTGATTCATGGCACATTGCCCAGTTCTATGCTTTCTGTTTTGCTGGTACCTGTAATTAAAGACAAAACAGGGAAAATATCTAGCACAGAAAACTATAGGCCTATTGCCTTAGCCAGCGTGATGTCTAAGGTATTAGAGATAATATTACTGGATCGATTTCAGCAATATGTTATTACCAATGATGAGCAATTTGGTTTTAAAAGTAAGCATGGGACTGATATGTGTATCTATGCATTGAAAGAGGCTGTGAGTAAGTACAGAAGGCAGAACTCCACAATGTGTCTGTGCTTTTTAGATGCCTCTAAAGCCTTTGACCGCACACTGGCTTCCCAAGACTGAGCTTCCAGCCAATCAGCAACCTCGGGAAACCCCTTTCAGCAACCAGACAAGAAAGGAACCCCGCAACACAGAAAGCAAGTACCTCCAGATTCTGCTGAACTGGTGTAGTTAATCTAAATTTTAACCTCATTGAGGAACTCCGTGCGAGGGTTAATTAAGTGATTGATGGTTGTTCAGATCTATACAATGGCACATATTGCTGTAACTTGGGATTTCACATTTTCATTCTCTTTAATTATTTCCTCTCTCTCTCTTTCTGAAAACTTGTGTGAATGCGTGTGTTCATGTGTTAGATTAGTTTATATGTCTTAGATTTATCCAATAAAGCCTTATTTATATGGAAAAGAGAAGTATCTTGTGTTTTGTGCTCACAAGTTAATGTCTTAAACTGCCGATCTTGTTACTATGCTAATTAATAGTGTTTTCACTATATTTTGGATATAGATATCCATTGCAGAATTGCTGTCATACGGCTCGTTCACTGAATCGCTGGCCGTCTCAGTGATCCGCCGTAAAACAGTGATTCTGTCCTAATTCCCTTGCATATTAATGGTGGAGTTCCCTTTAAAATCTTAAATGATTCCCTTTGAGCTAAATTATTGACCTGTTTCCCTTACACCAGCGTGATGTCTCAGGTATTAGAGATAATATTACTGGATCGATTTCAGCAATATGTTA